AGAGGAACCAAAGGACAGACCTAAGGTAGACAAAGCATAAGACAGATCGAAGACAGGAAACCTTAGGACAGACCTAAGGTAGACAAAGCATAAGACAGATCTAAGGCAGGAAACCTTAGGACCGACCTAAGGTAGACAAAGCATAAGACAGATCTAAGGTAGACAAAGCATAAGACAGATCGAAGATAGGAAACCTTAGGACAGACCTAAGGTAGAGGAACCAAAGGACAGATCTAAGGCAGGAAACCTTAGGACCGACCCCATTATGAGGGGAATCATATAAATGTTTTGCAGACTTCCGTGTAGGGGAACACACAGACCTTTAAAGCGGACCTCACGTAGGGGAACCTTACATGTTACAGACCTCTTGGAAGGGAAATCCATAGGACAAAGCTCCAATGGTAGTTTTTGGGAACCACAGAACGGACCTCACGTGGAGGAACTTATGGGGACCGCCTTTTGGGAAGGGAAATCACAGGATAGATCTCGGGAACGGAAATCATAGGACATTAGCTCTTTTAACGGTAGGAGGGAATGACGACAGAGAAAGTGAAGCCATTATGATTGTGAATCAACATCTTTATAAATGTTTTGGAAACCTGTTTTTAAGTAACGTATAGTTTCCGTGTGATCTTGTGGAATTTTACTACACAACCCAAAGACCTTTAAAGTGGAGCTTTAAGTACCCAGTGCCTATATCTTCATTACATGTTAAGTGCCCACGCCTCTTGCCTGATTCACAGGCTGTAGTAATCTAACATCATTAAACTTTCAAATAAATACTGTTTTAACCAATGCCATGTACAAGTTTTTGACAGAGTATGCATCACCATCTGGATGACTTCACAACGAAATGCCAACGTTGGGATAAGGGTTGTGACTTCATGGGGGTCATGACCTTTTGTGGAAGTAAAAGTATACATGTAACTTCAGTTGGATAATATTATGGCCCGAAACTGCTTTTGGATCTCGTATAAATTATCCGATATTCCGATTTGGATTATTAACTGGCTTTTAACTGTAATTTTTGCGCCTATTAGCGAGAATGTTTGTCGAATGATGGAAAGGCCAGCGAAATTGATACAACGAGCGTTGGTCCGACACGTTTCTAACGCGAGGGGACTATTTCCTTTCAAACGAGTCAAACTGATTCACATACATGTTGTATTTAGAGTCAGAAATCGAGTACTGCGCGGCGTGATACATGACCAGCTTTTTTTTGAGCCAGTTTCCAAGCGAGGGGTACATTTTTTAAAATCTGCGAGTTGCTTGCCTTGTGTATTTTTAATGACCGTGGACTCTTTGTCCCGGCTTATTTGCATATGAGTTTATATATTCCACCAAAAATCAATGATTTACACGAATTTCCTAATGCGGAATATCAACGTTCACTGGCTAATGAAAAGCTATGCACTGACCCCGGAGTCGGTAGTAATTCCTTATCTGTGGGGCGTGAATCTTACAAGGCTAAACTATTCCTTAATTGTACTAGATACAGAAATGATTAGAGAATGATACATTGATAGATAACCGAAAGAAACATCAACAAATTGTTTAAAAGATATGAAATTATTAAGACCATGAATTCAGTTTATTTATAATCAAAGTACTATTTACGAGTACTACAACATATGTCAAAAACTGAATTGGAAACAGAACGCCTCAGCCCTTACAAGCGGATATTTACCACTCATGCAACTTTGACCCTGTTCTCGAATTTAAGCTAATTTTAAGTTGGCCTTATATCCAAACCACCGCGGCTGCTGAGGAATTTATCAGAAGAGCCACTTGACTGGGAAAAAATCTGATTAGATTTTCAGAATATCGGGAGGGGGTGAGACCTCTGTCGCTGTTGGTACAACTGATAATCCACTGCCGGGCATTTTTACAGAACTGGAAACTACTAAGTCAGTCTGTTACTAATATCTTCGTTTAGCATGTGTAATGACAGAAACAAACACTTACCAGAAGATATTAAAACTTCAAATATCGTATTTATGAAGAAAAATATTTAAGGAATCGTTTACTTTTAACTGTTTCAAATAAAATATGCATCAAAAATACTTTATTCAGTTTTATAAAGCTGACAAATCTTTTTGCCTTTTGCGTTGTTTTGAATGTAAATTCTAAAGTAGAATATTTACCTCTGGCAAAAGTGTTAAAACCCCGATGGTTCATTAACGTTTTGTATTTCCACCTGGTTGTGTGTACGCCAAGATCACGTTTACATTGACTTTTGAAAAGTTGAATCAGTCACACATTAGTAATGCTACATTACGAAACTTATCAAAATGTAATCAGCTCGAGATCTAAACAGTAAAAAGAGTGGGGAGGGGGAGGAGAAACTGAGTCATTTTTATCATTTAAAAAATCTCATTCAGAAGTTCACAATGTAGCACTATTCCCTCCCAAACCAGTGCCAATATAAGTAACCTTTTTAACTCTTAGTTGTCTTTTGTTTGGCAACGATGTTTGATGATAACACCGAGATAACCGCGCGTATAGTAAGCGTTACTATCAGCTGGCAGAACACGCGCAGCAATTTCAAAAACGGCTACGCTCGTTCTGATTGGCCGGTTTAAGAGATGACATTAGTTTGGAAACCCATTCAGGCTTCGCGTTAAGTTTCAAGCTAGTTTTACAGATGTTCTTGATCGTTGAAAAACAAAGATGTCAAAATATTTTATCTGCTGCCTGTGTTAGATATCCCGACTCTGACACCTGTTCAAACTATACAGATGGGTTTAGAGTAGAGGCTTTCCCATGCTGTGTTTTTTTCTTTGACGATCCATTTCGCAACCATGAAAAAATGTCGATATACATATTCCATTACAATTTGTCCCCACAGGCCAAGTTTAAGTGGAAACAACAAGCGCTCACGGCGCAGTAACAAATCTGACCTAAATTAACTTTATGGTTGGGTAACGTCTGTGTTCTGGAACAAGTGCGGTAATACGAGGATCGGTAACAAACAGGTCGGGCAGTGGTGATACAAGAATGTAAATGCTTAATTCAACAGATTCGAGGTGATTTGGTACTTTCAATTAACCCAATATACTCAGCCTTAATCATTGTTGTCGATGAAGAAACTTAAATAACGGTTACAGTTTAAAACATATTGTGATGTTTACATAGTCTATATGTTTTTATAGTATCGAAAATCGTAAGAAACGAAATTTTCTATCGTTATTTCAGATTAAACAAAAATAAACAGTGAAAAATTGGTCATATTTTAAATTCACACTACAGGAATCATTCGGGACTAAAGATTAAAGTGATTGTGTTTCTCGCTGTCCTATTGTAATCATGTACTTTTTTACCAATCAAATGCAATTACTATAGTTGTCTGATAGACATGTCAAAACTGTACAGAACCCCCTCCCCCCGTCATTTACAGATCGTGGAACCGAAACAGCAGGGTCAGAGGTAAGGGAGGAAAGTTATATTGTGACGGGGATCGGATACAGGAGAGGAGTTAGAGTGTGGGCAGTGTAATAGGGACCGGATACAGGAGGGGAGTTAGAGTGTGGGCAGTGTAATAGGGACCAGGTACAGGTGGGGAGTTAGAGTGTGGGCAGTGTAATAGGGACCGGATGCAGGAGGGGAGTAAAACTTAGGCAGTGTATAGGGCAGTGTTAGAATGTGGGCAGGTATACAGGTGGGGAGTTAGAGTGTGGGCAGTGTAATCGGGACCGGATGCAGGAGGGGTACAGGCAGGGGAGTGTTAGAATGTGGGCAGTGTAATAGGGACCGGATACAGGAGGGGAGTTAGAGTGTGGGCAGTGTAGTGTATAGGGACCGGATACAGGAGGGAAGTTAGAGTGTGGGCAGTGTAATAGGGACCGGATACAGGAGGGAAGTTAGAGTGTGGGCAGTGTAATAGGGACCGGATACAGGAGGGGAGTTAGAGTGTGGGCAGTGTAATAGGGACCGAATACAGGAGGGGGGTTAGAGTGTGGGCAGTGTAATAGGACCGGATACAGGAGGGGAGTTAGAGTGTGGACAGTGTAATAGGGATCGGATAAAGGAGGGGAGTAAGACTTGGGCAGTGCAATAGGGACCAGGTACAGAAGGGGAGTTAGAATATGGGCAGTGTAATAGGGACCGGGTACAGGAGGGGAGTAAAACTTAGGCAGTGTAATAGAGACCGGGTACAGGAGGAATGTTAGAATGTGGGTAGTGTAATAGGGACCGGGTACAGTAGGGGACTGAGACTGTGGGCAGTGTAATAGGGACCGGGTACAGGAGGAGAGTAAGACTTCGGCAGTGTAATAGGGACAGGGACAGGGGAGGAGAGGGAAGTTAGCGTGTTGGCAGTGTAGCGTAGACAGGGATTAGGAGTGGGGGGTTATAATGTCGGCAGTGTAATAGAAACTGGGGAGAGGAGGGGGTCAGAGCGTGGACAGTGTAACAAGAACAGGGGTGATAAGGGGAGTTAACGTGTGGGCGGTGTAGCATGGACGGGGGTGAATAGGGAGAGTGTGGGCAGAGAGGGACAGGGGTGAGGAGGGGTTGTTAGCGTATGGGCAATGTGGCAGGGAAAGGGGTGAGGAGGGGGCGTTAGCGTATGGGCAATGTGGCAGGGAAAGGGGTGAGGAGGGGGCGTTAGCGTATGGGCAATGTGGCAGGGACAAGGGTGAGGAGGAGGCGTTAGCGTATGGGCAATGTGCAGGGATAGGGGTGAAGAGGGGGCGTTAGCGTATAGGCAATGTGACAGGGACTAGGGTGAGGAGGGGGCGTTAGCGTATGGGCAATGTGACAGGGACTGGGGTGAGTAGGAAAAGAGCCAAAGAAGAACGATATTTAAATTTTGGCTACAGTAAAAAAAAAAATAGGAGTGGGAGGACTCAGGAATGCTGGATGTATAATGTAAAGAGCGGAAAGGGGAGGGGGCAATGAGGGAACGACTAGGACAAAACAACGAAGAATAAGGAGTGAACAAGGGCTAGGGTCAAGAAAAATGTCTTACTTTGTCCTCGTTAAATTAAAGACTCGTCTATATCAATCTATCAGAATTAAGACTTGTATGACATCATGCTTACCCAGTGGTTTTCCCATTTACCGGTAACGACGGCAGGGCCGAAGCTCCTAGCTGGGTTCAAACTACATCCGGTATATTGGATCTGAAAACGGAAGAAAAAGAGTAAAAATGACGCAGTGAATGAGGTTTTAATTGGGACAATTTAGCTATATAAATACCAACTTAGTCCCAGGGTGCCTTAGACGATAGTTTTACTAAAAGTATTCACGTATCGTCAAACAAATTTCTGAACATATGTCCAACCAACTCGCATGCAGTCAAATTCCTTCATAGACAAAAGAAACGTTTCTTAGGAGAGGTGCAGATACGCGTTCTTTGGAATGGCTAACTAAAATATATATCAACAGATTAAGGTTATTTCTCAAGAAAATATCAAAATCATGTTACTCTCCCCGGTTGTAATTTCTATTAAAATTTCATTACTGTTAACTAGTACCTGTTGTGATTTCTCCTCGAAATGTCGAGATTAAGTTGCGTTACCCTGTTGTGATGAATGACATACCATCAAGTTTACTGTTATAACGTGATGTTGGTAGTTAATTTACAAAGAATTAATGTCGTGGTCCTTTAGTCAATCACCCCCGATACCATTAGCGAAAAACAAAACAAAAAAACAAAACAAGAAAACAAATAAACAAAACGTTAGAAACAAAATCAACAATTAAAAAATTACTGTTTTTTAAAGACCAATCCCGTTATAACACATTGTAGAGAAATACCAAGGGATACATTGTGAATAGTTTCACAAATTAAATCTAATGTCAACATTGTTTACATTTTTATATAATTAAAATTCATACCAGGTATGTTTTTACGTGATTCGCACGCCATGCTGTCAGAAAGAAGAATATTTTAATACAGGTGAGATACAGTGTGGTCTAAAATGTTATTTCTTTCTGTTCATAAATTACGAGGACATGTCTATGCCGTTTTTATTGTTAGGGTTTTACCCTCTTTCATTTAAATATAATAATTTAATGTCACTTTGTTATATTTTTCTCTTTAATCTTTAAATTAAACCTTTTCAATATGTTACATTTGAAAATTGTAACAGCTTGTGTGAAGCAACAGCTTTGTGCGAGTGATGGGGGTATCATAAAGCACCATGAGGATTATTATTCGAATATAAAAAAAATAAATGTTATTATGAATCTGTGATGAAATCGTAAACAAGATTTGGGGATGACGCTAGACCGAGCGGAAGAAGCTTAAGCGTCCTGGGGTGGGGCGCTTTCACAATCCGAAACCAGCCAATGAAAGCGCCCGTAACAAATGTTCGTGGCAGCTTCTGATGTTGGCAATAGCACAGAAGGCATTGTCCAGTGGGGACGCTATCAGTAATTATGCTAATTAACCCCGCGGGATCCATGCCTCGCCCTCTGTCTAACCGTCCACGTTTGAAATGTCAGGCATTGTAATTTACGCTCTCGCGGCTTCCGCCACCGTTAATATTCCGCTATTCAAACATCGATGAACACAGAATTGACAATGGGGCCGTTTGGCGGGATGCGAGAGGACAAAACGCAATTCGAGAATCGTTAAATTTCCATGATAAATAGATGAGAAGAAAGAAATCAAACACAAATCGTCACTAACAAAGAGAATGTTTAGTTCTGTTGAAGATCAAAAAGGATTTTAATGTCAGCTCGGAAAAATCCGGCTAAGATTTAAATGTCAAGAGAAAAAGGCGCTAATTTATCAATTAATGTTGGTATATTTGTCTGCAGTCCCGCGATTTTAGTTATTATCCCAAAGATGACGCCACATGCAGAAGGTACCATATACAAAAGAGAAGATTATATATATATATTATTATCAATAGCAAAAGTGTATATATATATATATATATAAGTAATGATTTTTATCCGCGCATGTTTTTTCATCGACAGGTTAATTGCCTCACGCGTTAGGAAACTAAGATTTAACACTTTTATAATCACTGTTGTTTATATCCCTTTTTTCTCTCTCCGTCTTCTGGTTAATATAAGCTAATAACATTGTCAGAGGTAATCTACATTTAAGTCTTAAGCTATTCGTTTAATTAATTCACATAAAATTTCATTTTAATTCGTTTTCTGTCTGATATAGAACTATAAAGAAGCGGTTGATTTACATACATAGTAAACACATCAATTACAGTGTAGCTGACAACATGCAGTGCTTTCAACAGAAGAATTTTTTTTAATGATGTGATAAAGACCTAGAAACAATACCATTAGACAAAAAAGTAAATTTACTTACGGCCACCAAATGTCCAGCTACAACCGCAAGACCAATGGTCAAGGGGGCAGATCCGTTCAAATCGTTCCTATCACTGTCAATGGACGCTAACACAGTGAAAACCAAAACGAAAGTAATCATTAGTTCCACGCCGAAACCCTGGGCATCGGTGACGCTGCCTTTAAGGGTGTTTACTCCTAGTGTTCCCTGGGTATCCTTGGGGGTGAGACCGAACAGAATTCCGGCCCCTACCATTGCCCCCAAAATTTGGGCTACGATGTACATAAGTCCACGGACAATACTGACCCGTCGGGTGACAAGGGCGCCGAGGGTGACAGCAGGGTTGATGTGACCACCGCTAATATGGCCAATAGCCCATACCATTGTACCAACTATTAAACCGAAAGTAAGGGAGATCTGGACGGTAGATGGGGGCATTGCTAACAAGTCTGTGCCCGACATACCCCCGGTAGATTGCTGGGGTAGGGCTGAGGCACACCCGAAAAACACCAAGAACATAGTTCCCACCAACTCGGCAGCTACGGAGCGCCATAGATTGGGACTAGTGAGATCCTCCAAATTCTCCTGCATGATTTTCCACATGATCCGATACCAAAATCCTATTGATACTAGCTTTCGGTTGCTACTGCGACCACGCTGGTCCCGCTACAACTTCTTATACTTTGGAAATTTAATTTTCTCCACGCGTTCACTACGCATGCGTTTTGACAAGCGGGTTGGCACTGGTATTGGTCTGAGGGTCTCCTGTTCATTAAAAACAACCGCAGCAAACCACGCCCATTTACTAGAGAACGTACTCGGTCCAAGGGGTAACGCTGACAGAGACAGAATCCTTGCTAACACCACTCTTAACTGGTCTCTCGTAAAAAATTGAATGTTTCAGCCTCGCTACTACAGTTACTACACACAATAGATGGGTGATCGGTGTTACCACTCTCTTAGCTAACAACACAGATACTAACTCATCATCGCACGTGCTGTATTTATATGGAGGGCTGGGCTGTTAGGAGCGGAAATATCAAAACTACTGACCCTCGAATCCCATCCTTCAGACACAATCGTATATATCTGCAGCCCACACCGACCTGCCAAACCACGTTCATGTATTTATCTGTCGTACACAAGTAAATTAGCATATTACGTACGATAACACCTCACTTTGTGTAATGACGGTGAATTTTAATTATGTTTTCTTCAAAATGTCGAACTGTTTACGTTAGATATTTCATTGCATTTACCGCTTATTTTTTGACCCATAGCTGACTGTTTGGCATTCGCTTCAGTGATTGACACGCGTAATGCATGTGCAGATATACAGCGTCTGTACCAGATGTGAGAGCTGTCAGTTATACTATAATATCACACACTCATGCAGTATCACATTATATAGAAAGCTGTTAATTTTTAGGTACGAAATACTGCTTATCTAAATATGAAACTTCTCACGGATTTTGACACAAGTTCCTGTGAAATAAACAATCAAGTCGTAATTTCATGATCATTTGCCTAAACTATTTGTCTTCTGATGTGGTAAATCATTGATAATAATATCTTATATCTCTAAACTAGAGTTACTAAAACATTTCTCTTTAGATTCAAAACGTGTATTCAGAGGTCAGTGGTCTCTTATTGCAGGTGGTCGTTATACACAGGTTCAATACATATACATTAACTACGAGAGAGTTCCCGAAGTCATTTTCCTGAATACATTTGAGAATGAGTTAATGAACTAGCAGCACTTTTTAGTTCCTTGATCGTATATGCATGTCTTTCTTCAGGGTATTAAACTAATGGACACGATTACACCTGACTATTCTTCGTTTGCTTTCTATAACAATCACCGCCCTCATTGTTTTATGGAAATGATGTTACTAATGATATTAGTATGCTCTGTCCTCTTCCTGTAATATATAACATTGGAATATGTTAATATCAAACAGAATCCTCTCATAATACATTATGTACGTTTTATCAAACATTTCATGACTTAGAAAATTGAAAAAAGGGAATTTTTTAAAAGGGGGGGGGGTATAGTCCGTATTTTAGACGTATTACACAGGCACGCATGCGCAAATTTTAACGTGTTAATGATAATGATTACAAGTGTTAGTTTCTATGTTATAAAGCCACACCATAAACATATGATAAACACTGAAATGTGAATCAATAATTATTTACAGGAAGTAATTAAAATATTCTCTAATATCATGTAGTCATTGTACACACATGTTGTATTACAGAAGATATCTCTTTGTTTTGATACATCTATATTTAGTACAGTTTGATAACCAACACATAGGGAAAACACCTCTGATTCCTAAATAGGTGTGGCAAAATAAGTACTAAAATTGTTTCACTGTCACTTGCGGACTTTAAAACTAAATTTTATATATAAAAATGTTAATTGTTTATTTATCAAAACTTTCACGACAAAAGTTCGTAGTTCAGAAACGAATAGAGAATGAGATGTTTAAGGTATTGTACAGAGATCCGTCGTTGTTTACAATAATATTTACAAATGTTAATTTATGTAAATAATGTTTATGTGCGTATCTTTCCTATACGTCATTGATAACATTAATATCACTCTAGATGTCCTGACAAGATAATGTTTATCATTATGATGTATAATATTTAGGTTACTATCAAATAAATATATATGACATTAGACTGGAATTGACTCAATCATTCCGTAACACTGACCACATATGTACAGCTTGGTATTTAGAGAATGCGAATATCTTCACTATGGAATGACAGAACATGAATCGTGGTCCTCATCTTGATGATAAAACAAAGCTATCACCCTAAAGAGGTCATCAACATTTCACTGCTTATCTCCTGGCATAATGACACTGCCCAATTATATAGGTCAATCGCACATTTCAGAGTTTTTTGACGAGAGAATATCCGTGGAATTTCATCTGTCCTCTTTAACGTGGCGTTATGTGTATATATGTCCAATTTTTTTCGGCATTTGATTTTAAATGAAGACAAAGCTTTTCACTATATCGTTTACAGGTGGTGTGGACCTTCCGTTATCGTCAAGGTACTGTGAAAACGAATATGTAAAAAAACAACCTTAATAGTCGACCCCATGTTATTTACTTCTTATATAACCAGTGTGAAATAAATATAACTTAAACAGAAGTGAGTAGCTTTTACGTTAAATTTACGAAAGTTCAAACGAGTAGTCACGGTTTTTTTTTAAATACTAAAACTACTGTCGATCACAAACATAGTCACGGACTGCTGCAGAATCGATCACTAATATCGATCATAAAGTTGATCACGTGAATCCGATCTCGAGAGTTGAGAATGCTTACAAGATGACTTTATCCGTCTGTGACATATTTACGTTTCAGTGTAATGATGTAAAACCTCAAAAAAATACAAACATATCAATATAATCACAATCCAAACTCATTTCATAAAACTAGGACAAAACATCAACAAAAGAAACGTTTACACGGAGACTCCTAAAAAAAAGTACAAGAGAAATAAGACCAGGTGTTCCAAAAGTGTAAGCGTCTTGTGCTTCACCGACGGCACCCGCCATGGTTAATCCAAGTAAGTACTGTCACGTTCTCAAATGAGAACAAGGTATACAACTAACGAGCATCAATCACGTCCAGCTTCATATCACATAAACAATTAAAATATTTCTCAACGAGTCACTGTGGCGACCCTAAGACGTCCACATAATTTTCATCAAATCAGGCAACGACGAGTTTGTCGCCACTTCCGAATCTTCCACATTACCTGCTGGGACTTGACAAAAACCTTATCATCACACGACCGAGCAGATTAGTTACCTGAAATAAGAAAATATCACACCGGTGCCTTACATGATACATTCGACAAGGATCAGATAATCGATCTTTTATCCAGTAAATTCGCCCTTGTAATTTTTTTTGCATATATCACTTGTGTGATATACCAGAGAGCGTTTTCATTGGTTGGTCCAGTCAAAAATCGTTTGTGATGTCATGATATCTTGGGACAATGACGTAACATCGTGAACTGAAAATGGTGCGACAAAATGGCTGCCTCCGTTTTGTTTTTTGTCCTCCACATTCTGACGTTTAAACCTGTGAAAGTGTAACTTTTTGTTAAGCAATAAACATTAAATTTGTTTCAATTTCATTTGTGATTTCATAAAACTAATTTCAGATTCTATATATCTTTAAGAGTTGACGACAATGACATGACGGACTCACATTTTACGTAATCATTATTCACCTGGGAAATGACTTAATTACTTAAATTACTTTACGCTTAATTGCATTTTTAAATACAATTGATATTTACGTTGTATACCTTACACTTGTTCGCACGTCTTAAACAACAGCAGACATTCCACTATCGCCAACATGTAGTAAATTAACGAGTTTGTCGGAATTGTATTAAATTTTACGGACGAAGAAGAATTCACACATGCGCACACCGAAATGCAAGTATATGATGTTTACAATTATATTCCGCGGCAGTAGCGGATTAAGATACTGTTAGCGTGGAATTCTCACCCACATGACCTAGGGTCGACACAGCTATCGCGCCCTTTCTTTCCGCTTTTCTGATTTAGAACTCTTCAAAGAAAAACACTTGCACGTGTTTTTCAAAGATAACAGACAGAAACAAATGATAAGGGTGGATCCGGAATGTTATCGTGCATTGTTGACCACTGATATACGCCATCTTGAAAGTATCCGATCGGCACAACTCTGTTTATTTCTTTATCAAATCGAGAGACTGTAATATTTCATCTGTTCATATCTTTTTAATAAAAGTTTTAACGAAATTACAGTCTCTTTATATTTTTTTATAAATTTGTATAGATTTCTGTGTATTTTTACTGTTGCCGATCAGAGCTTAAACCTCATGTGTAATATTGTTAAAGTCACGTGACCATTACAATTCAGTGAGTCCAACTGAAATACAACATTAAATGATAACGTTATCTTTATCTTTAGGGCTCTAAAAGATCAATTCATATTTAATTTACGCTTCTACAAGGTCATCGAATACTTGAATTATATCACTGAAAACGAGGATATTTATTTTGAGTGTTTATAAAGTTCACAGCACACCAGCATCGCTCTGTATGGCAAAACACTTGCAAAGGAATGTATATTATGGTGGAAAAGACATGTTTGTAGTAGTGGTTTTACACGTGTGGCTCAGAGGGAGGGGAAATTCACCTCGTTTTAGGGTTAGAATGTTTTCAATTAAAACAGTGACTCCAAGTTCAGCATGGGCTTTGATAACGTTACCAGATAGAGACGCGGTGTAAACCACACAGGCCACAGAGGTACAGGGAAACCGTATCTGTTTATCCTTTAAACACATGTTGAAGAATTGTTACTCTGACCCTCAAAAGCTTCCTCGTGTCACCGCGAAAGATTCTTTTTTTTTCTTTTTGCATGTCATGTTCGACTACGTCAGTCATACGTTTCAAACGTAACGTCGAAGGATCACCCATTTGTTACACTGATTAATCTCCCAAATGTCATGGCATATGGTCTCTCATGTGTCACACTGAGATATCTTTCAAGTGTCATGACACAAGATCTTCTATGTGTTACACTAAGGAATCTTGACAGGATCTCCAAAGTGTTAGGACATAGGAGATCCTGCGTGTCGTGTGGAATATTATCGTGTGACTTACAATGTTTGTTATATAGTGTAAAGATCTTCTTGTAGCATAATACAGTAGCGTAAACAGACATCGAGTTACCATAGCACGTTACCATAGCACGTTACCACAGCGTAAACAGGCATCACATTACCATGGCACGTTTCCATAACACGTTACCATGGCACGTTACCATAGCCCGTTACCATAGCGTAGAAAGACATTGAGTTAAAACAGCACGTTACCATGGCACGTTACCATAGCACGTTACCATAGTGTAGGCAGACATCGAGTTACCATAGCACGTTACCATGGTACGTTA